AAAAAAAAAAAAAAAAATCGGTCCGCACAAATCTATAACACATAATTCATTTTTTCATCTCTCTAATGTTAGCAAGATCCGCTATTGAAAGGCTCTGCAACCTCTATTGTAGCTATATCCCTTTTCCTTCAGGTACATCAGTCTCCGTTCCGTTCATCTTCTCCAATCCTTCCTAAAACAAAAAACACAAAATCTAAACGGTCAGTGAGCTCCCTTCCGTTCCCAAGTAGTTCCCCTCGTCACGTTCTAGTACTGGACTTTCAAGTCCGTCTCCTTACTCCGACCGGAACCGGGTATTCCAAATAAGATATCCCTCAACTGGTTGAACTTGGCAAACTCGTGCCAGAGGTGGGGCCAGGTATGGAAGTGACAGCGGCGAACGGTGATTGGATTGTGGACGGTCGATGTAATTGAGGTTAATTACATCAAGCCTTGTGCCGGCGGAATAAGCCCTGGCATCGAGTTTGTGGACAAAATCTTCTTTCTTTGGGAGAAGTGGCTTCATTGTACACTTTCCTTTCATTCCAATCTCGCGGGAATCCACCTTGATTTGAGGGCAGGAAAGCTGCTCATCCGTACCAAGGCTCGCTAATCCGCAAAGGCCCGGCAATCTGGACTCGTTTTTTATCCGAATACTGCAAATTGGTTTGAATTCATCAATTGGGCACCACAGGTTCGGGGCTTTCATTTTTTTCACATATCAATCGGCCTGTTTTTTTGTTTTTTAGGTGTTAAGATCTGAAAAGGGTATTATGGTGAACTTTGGATGACTAAAACATTGGCGGACAAAAATTTTTTGCTTTGGCGCTCACTAGTTAGTTTAATTTTGGTAATCTTATATATTTAAGGTAGATAAACACTGAAATTATTTTGACCGTATCTTCAGCAAATATCTCTCCCCCCTTTCACTCATATAAGTAAAAGTTTAGGCTAACAATTATCAAAGTCTCAAAGATAATCCGCCATTATCTATAATACAGCAACAGGTTGTTCTGGAAGAAGACTCTCTCGTAGTATCTTGGTTCTTTACGTTATGCCTTACATCAAATTGTTTCTATTTTACATCAATCAATCAGTTATGCATTACTTTTCATTCTGATGGATTTTTTTTTTTT